TTTTTTTCTTTTGATTTAGTCGAGTTGGTTTTGCATCAAACACAATGTGATTTTCGGCAATCGAAATCTGACAGCAACAGTGCATTTTTCCACTTGGGCGAGCGCTTTGCGGACAGCTTACCTCGCGCATGAAATCAGCCGCAGACCAGCAAATCACTGAGAATGCGCTATAATCCTGACGAGTCACAGCAACAGAGCGGAGGCGAGAAAAGAAAAAATTGAAGTATTACTGTTATTTTAAATGTTATTGTTAAATTTGCCAAGATTATGGCCTCTGGTGCTGATATGGTGTTAAATGCTAAATAAATAAACCACTATTTATTGCATTTTCTGCCCTAACACTTGTTTTATATTAGCAACGTGTAACCAATCTCTCATGGATCATTAGACTTGTGGATGATATCGAGAATTGTGAAATTTCACCGGTGTTGGTATCATGAGAATCCTTCATGTATATTTGTGTGTGTATATGTATTATCACTTATATTTGTTTCTAATATTTCTTTTTATTGCATCATAACATAACATGGCATATTCAACCTTATTTGGTGATGAATTTTACACAGAAAGGGAAAAAAACTAAAATTATGATATTTTTATATGCACAGCAGTGTTATTTTAGTATCATTGAGATACTATTACAGTTTTTATTAATATTTTGAATCAGTTTTTTATTTTATTTTACAGTTTCATTTTAAAGTTATTTAATTACTTTAAGTTTTAATAATTTTGTTGTGTTATTTTGTCATTTTAGTTTTTCTTAATATTAATGTTTACTGTTTTTATTAATTTTTATTTAATTTTTAGTTTTAGTAATTTTTAGTACTGATTACAACAATGTATGCACATACATCATAAACATGATGATTTGTGTTGTTTACACCTGTTATTTTCAGATCTAACCGGTGGAGTTGAATCATAATGGCTTGTTTTTGCAGGTTTTGATCGTGGCAAAGAGGAAATCCTGCCTCTGAAAGAAGACTCCTCACTCTCCATATCCAAGAGCAAGGTAAACTCACACTCCTGTTTATCCTCATGGCAAAAACAAAAGACACAACAAAATTACTAATACTTTAACTAATATAGAAATGAAAAATATAATAAAAACTCATTCAAAATATGAATATTATTTTATGAATAGTATATTGATGATACCAAAACAACACACAGTTGTGCATTAATAAGTGGGGGGGGG